GTTCAAATGGCTTTGCAGTCTGACGCATTAACCCATAGCGCCACACCAAGTCTCCTCCTTAGGGTGTCTTAAAAAATAAGGTCCCATTAGAGCAGTGGCTTCTGTTGAGAGGGGATCTGCTGGGCCAGTTAAATTGAAGGCAGAGAGGTAAGCTCTGAAGGCTGTGGTAACTGTAATTTTGGATTCTGAAAGGGTGTTAGATTTGTTTTGAAAGACACAGGAAGATCATGAAGGCGTATTAGGAAGAAGTTTTAGGAAAATGGAAAACTGCATTGGTGAGAAAGAGACCAGGAAAGTTGTGCCAAGGAATTTTTTCCCATCATGGCAATGCACCTGCTCATTCTTCAATTTTGTAAGGGCTGTCCTATGAGAATTTCACGTATCTATGCTACAGTCCTGATCTTGCACCTTCAAGCTTTTTTTTTTTTTAAATGTTCGCAAACTCTTATTTAAAAGGAACACGGTTTGAGTCCCCAAGGATGCAAAAACTGCTGCTTTGACATGGTGTAAATCAAAGAGCACAGAATTCTTCAGGGAAGGGATTGACAGTTGGAAACACAGCCTTCAGAAATGTGTGCACCTAGGTGGAGGCTATGTTGAGAAATAATAGCTTCACATTTTGATGTTTTTGCTTAATAATAGTTCCTATGGTTTTTCAATACTTCTTCACTTATGCTTGTATGTTCAGATATTCAGATATTGAAGTTGTATCTTAGGTTGATAGGTTGACATGTATCTTATTGTATTAAGTGTCATCGGTACCTCACAAAATCACTGGGAATATAAAGAAAAGGCATCTGTTCAGTCTTAGTAAACCTGCTTGGGCCCAGCCAGGGGCCTTCTTTCACTTTCATTACCCTCCCATCTCCCAAGACTTTTCAGGCAGTGGTAATGAAGCTTCTTTTAGTACTCAGTAGCCATTTTTCCATGTCTCAGTTGTACCTTTGTGTCCCATCTTTGAAGCTAAAGTAACCTGTTGCATATAAATGTATAATTTAACTTAGGTACAAGGGGACTTCAAAAAATTTGTTGAACAATTCCATTATCCTTTTATTCACTTTTTCCTCAGATTTTGTGAAGCTCCCTTATATGTGATGTCACCTTCTCAGAAAGGCTAAGAACTGCTGCTATCGATTCTGTGGCTTATACAATAAATAATTAAAAAAAAATTTTTTATGTGATAGTTTACATTAGTTTTACATTAATCCTATCGTATATAATTTCATTACCTACCATGGTTACAATACCCTCCATGCATCATCAACCAGCCAAAGGGTCTACACTACAAGCCTGCTTCCCCCCGTACCCCCTGGTCATCAGCATACAGCCCCTCTCCCTCTCTGGGTGTGAAGTCCTCAGCTGCTCTATCTCCCCACTTCATCATCTCTACCTCCATCTCTGGTGTCACTGTTTCTGTGAGGAGGGTCCCACTGTCCACTCTTTTCCCTTGATGGTCTTAGAGACCTCCATTCCTAGACTGCAAAGTTAATCACTCCCCTCCTTGCTACAAAATGTCTACCTTTATATTTCCAACCCTCACAATCAGTCTTGATAACAATTATTCAATATTGTATTACAAGAGACCCATCCGCATTTCCTTTCATCAGCCCTGCCTAGACATATTGGATACTTCTCAGTGGAGATTCTATCTTCCTCCACGCCATCTGGATCTAGGTTCTCTCTTGAAAGCTTGTAAGCCAGTCACTTCTTGCCTTTGTAGCCCCCACACTTTGGGTAACCCACCATTTTGGGTAACCAATGACCAAGTTGCCCATCCCTGTCTACTCTGTGTATGGAGGGGGTGGGAATGATCCTTGCTGTAAAGATTTGTTCCCTCTTTTGAGCTACTGCATCCATAGGTGTAGGTCAAGTTCATCAAATTGTATTAGATTACTCTCTTTTTTCTCTTCTGTCTTCTATTAGTTGAGCTCTGATCATCCAGTCATTGAAGCCAGGTCAAGTGGGTATTATCTGCAAGTGTGGGTGTTCTTGTGCATATGCCCTCTCTTCTTATCAGCTGGATGCTTCACTCTCCACGCTAGTCCTCTGTGGCTATGTCACTGACTCTGGGCCCAAGAGTCCCCAGGTCTTGCCATATTGCTGGCCAACCAGGTCTCCACCCGGGTTCATAGGAGTCTATTGAACGTTGTATAGCTTAGTTAGCAGCTTCATTGCTGTTTTTCCCTCACTTCCCCTTATTGGTGACAAGCATGGTCCAATCATACCGTGTGTTTCCATTGAGTCTTAGACTTGGAAGGGGTTTGCCCTGAGGGGCCCTGACCACTTTCCTTGATGTCTCCTGGGTGAACACCTTGCTTGTTCTTGCAGTAATCAGTCAGTCTTCCTATATTGTTTTGTGTTTTTCCTGTCGTTTTTTCTTTCAAGAAGTATCTTCTGTTCTAGCCACTCGGGGCTGGTCTGCTTGTCCTTTCAAGTGGAAATTTCCCACCTCTGAAGATTCTGGATGCTATTCAGAATTCCACCTATGGTCTTATATAATGTAGAGGCTCCACAGGAAGCCTCCTTCACTGGGCACATTGTAGCCCCATTTTAGGTATTCTAATCATTTATAGGCAGAAGATGGATTTATAAGCTTTCTATGGTGATATTTCTGGCTATTCCTTTCTCTCCCCCTCAAGTGTCTTTTTTTATAATGGTACTCAAGGGAAACCAAGATTCAAAAGACAGCCAAGCATCTTAACATTATTTCCTCCCTTTTGCCCATTCTAACCATATCTTAATCCCTGTATCCCAGAGCCCTGTTTTTCCAAGATTGTGCGTACATCATCATTTACCTCTGTCTTACTTAGCCTGTGCAAACCTGCCTAATTGTTTTCCTCTCTGCTTTGTTCTTCCATTAACCTCCCTCTTCTAGTATATTGCCCCCCTCCCTAGCACCCAAACTATCCTGTGTCTGTTCCCTGCCCTGTACTCCACCTTCCCCTCCCTCCCTTCAGCCCACCCCCTCACATCCCAGTAACCAGGAAAGAATCCCCTGCCCCTTTAGTATGGGTTCGTTTTCTTAGTCTATTACAGTAGTGGTCCTATGCAGTATTTCTCCTTTTGTGAGTAACTAATTTCACTCAACATAATGTCCTCAAGGTTCATCCATAATATTCAGTGGCTTGCAGCTTCCTTGTTATTCTTCAAGGCAGCATAATATTCCATTGTGTGTATATACCACAGTTTGTTTATTCATTCTTCAGTTGATGGGCATTTTGGCCATCTCCAT